AATTCTTTGTTCTCGTATTTTACCCTTATTGTATTTGCAAAACTCGAGATAAGATAAAAAATAATTTAAGGTAACAAGAATTACTAGTTTTTATTTACCTTAGTTTTTGTAAAAACTAACACAATGTACAAAATCCTTTGTTGATATTTTGGTATTTAATAAACATTAGTGTTTATTTATGTTTCTCTATGTACAGATAATATTATAGTAATATAAAAATCACCCCTTATAAAAAAAATAAACATAAAATAAACATTGTTAAATATCATTAAAAACATAGGTTATTCGGAAATATTAATATTTACTCTATAGCTTTGTCAATTTTGTAATCAGAAAAAAATTGTTACTTAATAATACCTAACATCCCCACGCTTGTAGGTAATTTCAAATTATAAAATTTATTTGATACAGTCCATTTTGTGTAATCAAAATAATATTTGTTGCTGTTCTTTTACGCATTATAAACCATAATATTATGTATTGTTTTGATTGTAATACTCTTTTAAATGACAACAACTAATAAGTTATGATGAGAGATCGCTTTTGGTGGTAGAATTTAATAAGTACTAATAACATTATCACCGTTTATATTTCCCTTGACTTGAAACATTTGTTCTTTATTATTTTATTTTTGTTCGCAAAATCCATCTGAACTTTATATTACTAATTAGTAATAATTTATGATATAGCGTTAGTGCGTTTCAATAATGAATGTTATAAAGTTAGTTTTTTTTTGTTTTTAATATAATTTTAAGAATTCCCCTTCGATCCGAACTCCGCAGGGTTTCAGGAAACCTGTACACGTAGGTTGCTTCGTACAAGATTCAAATGTTCGCTTTACTAATGGCGGGGGGTTATGTTACAAAATGAGCTTCTTTAATAAATCACGTTGCTATGGTTTTTTTTTGTTTTTTTTCTCACAGCACAAAGGTTTCGAATACGACTCTGAATTAAAACTTTGCAGACTTTAACGGTTTTGGCTTTTGTCTAGAGTGTACCGAGGTAATTAAACTATACTACACTGTTGTGCGATGCTCCCCAGCGAATAACATATTTTTTTATTTACTATCAGCGGTCTCTCGCGTATCTGTGTACCTACCTATGAAAATCGCATAATCTTGTATAATTGTTGTCTGTCAAAGTAAGACACGTTGAACGTCTATTATGTGTACCGCGCCTACTTACGTGTGAATATTGATTTATGTTCCCACGTGGTCGGAGATCCGAGGCTCCTTAGATTATGTCCACATAGCCCATTTCTCGATCAGAAACGAATAAATATAACACCACATATTTTCCTATACTTGTGTTGTTATAATATTATAACGTGAGTGGGTATAAGTGTCGATGCTCACGGAAAACGGAGCAAACATGTTTCAAAACAGTGCGATATTGTGGGTCATCGTTATATTTATAAATTCAAACTTAAAAAAAAAATGTATACCTCCTCCTTAAAAAGTAATTCGACTGTCGGCTGTTTAGTTAAGTAATTTACAATTTAGTATGACGTGCTGTTCGTTTGCGTGTGATAGGGCATAACGTTTGAGAGTTTGAGACATGAAATCACTTGGTGTCGAAGAAGAAAACGACGACCTCAATGAGTCGGAGCTGTATTCGGGCCAGAGACCATCGTCCACAACCATCCGCCGTGACAGACTTCCCATAGGTATAAACACTAAACAGGTTACAGGTATTGTGACGTATATAGATTATGTATTAGGTTAGTCTGCAGTGGCGATTACCCGGATATGATGATTAGAATGACATTTCTATACACAGAAATAATAAACGTAATTCATGTGGATGCTTTAATTAATGTCATCAAAATGTGTCATCGACAAATGAAACATTGATTAGCGAAGAATTATAATGAGGTCATCACTCATCACATATCGATCATTTATTGTCCTTTTGTTTCTCGATAACGAACTTCCACGATAGTTCCCACTAAAAATAATTCGTTTATTTTGTCTTATTAATAGTTATAATATATGCTTAAAGTATTTGATTAATTTATTACAAAAAAATGTTTGTACATTTCTAAGAAAATACCGCATGGATTTTCGATTTCTTCTATAATACCTAAAAGGAAGTTCTTATAGTAATATTTGTTAAAAATGAAATGAATCTATTTCACAGATCTTTACAAATCATATGTACGTAAATTCAATTAAACGCCTATTGTTATTTAGGTGTTTAAGTATTATTTCTACAATTACCTTAATTTAATAATTTGAATTTTATTCAAATTTGCAATAGACATATTATGTGTCTAGTAGATCGTTTATTATTATAAAAATAAAAACGTGTTCATTTGTAAGCCCACACAAACTATTTCTAAATCTAATCTAAGACTATTTTAACTTTCTCATAAATGCCTGAAATTGCTTAAATAGGTATATTAATTTAACATCGATTTTTTGTTTAATTCCAATCATTTTAGTGATAAATATTATAATATGGGGCTATACACATTCAACGCAAGAAACTCATTATTTCAGAAATAATTACGTTTTTGAAAATACTACTTTCCCATAATTTTAAGTTGCTAAAAATCAACATTTTTCTAAAAAGTTTATATTTTTTACTATTTTTATTATTATTAATTTTCAATGTTTTTATGTATGTAAAAAAAAATGTACACTAACGTAAGTAGGTAAGTGCGTAAGTGTGTTTATACTATAACATGTTTAACAATATTATATTATATTATATTACATTATAAATTAATGTAGTAACTACCTATCTAGTTAAAGTAAAGAAATCATCTTAAACCAATATTCTTCATCGTTGAAATAGCTTTTATAACAGTCTGTAGGTATTATAAACTAATATAATGTAATATGGAAGATAATGCATTATGTAATGATACAAACAAAATGTTCAACTTAATATAATTTTTGGGTGGCATTTGGCATTTTGAAAATTTTCTCTACCAATATTTAGTACCTATGCCTAATTTGTATGCATTTGTATGACAATTTTCAAAATGTCTATTACCTTGGTTTTTCCATTATCAAAGAAAACCTTCAGCACCCATTGTTAAACAGTATCTATTCATAAGTTTAACTACACCATATTTTAGTACAGAATTTGTATGAATTTGTACGATCATCATTCGGTAGTAATTACATTTACTTAACAAACGCCGTAATCCCCAAGCGAAATAATATTGCATATATTGCACATATTTTGCAAATAATTTACGTACCTAATTTGTATGAATTTGCATGTGAACTTTTCTAAAAAAAAATTCTCATATGTTATAATAAACGTTAAATACATGTAATTTGTTTTGACATATTTTATTACATCTTTGGATATTTTAATAATGTTATTAATATCGAGGAATGTATAAAAAAATGTCACAGTAATTTTGTTGTTTATTGAAATGTCAGTGACATCTCATAACAATAGCAACAGAATAAATAAATCTTTGTTTCATTTAAACCTTTTTTACTATGCAAATAATATGTAGGTATTGCAAGAACTACTATTCGTCGATAGCACACTAAATTCTATACATAATAAAGTATAAAAAGTATTACACAACACAAGTATAAGTTTTGGGTTGTAAACTGGATAAATTAGAATGTATAAAATTACAAGTTCATATTATATTCACAGGATTTTTTTCATTTTAAAACAATATACAATATAATAAATAATAATATATACCAATGGGGTATGAAGAATAAATTAAATTATCCTGCAGGATGACTGTAGAAAGATAATAAAAACTTTTTTGTTTATTTTAACTTCAGAAGTTAATCATTATATTTAAAGCATACAACAGTTAGGTAGTATATTACATAATATATATTTTATATAAATATTATTATTATTGATAAAGTTAATACTTCGTTGAAAACTTAAGACTACCAAGGTAAATTAACATTTTATTATCAAAGAAAGTATTGGTATGTACTATACATCAAGTTATCCTTGGGTACCCGCCCCGTTATATCTACTCAAAATAATAGTTTATAAGGATGATCCGTAGTCTGATTTGAGAGTTTTGAACATGTTCTCTACATTGGCGAACGGGCTAATAAGTGGGTAAAATAAAAGCAAAATATACTGGTACTTATTCGATGTTGTAATGTACTTTTTACCGTCAAATTAGGTAGGTACCATTGTTGTCTACGGCTTTACTGAGATCATTATAACAATAGGTACCAAAAGACCGTTATCACTATGCAATTTGGATACATTTATGCTGGGGTAGAGCCGTAGAGGTATGAAACGTGTGTAGATGTTTTTTACATATTATAAGAAAAATGATTACGCTGACTGTTTCTGTAAATAACAACTTAGTATAATTATTATTCAAAATTAGATTGAATTTACAGATAAAATGAAATATTGTGAGATGAAATGTATGGTTTCGATGTATGTATGATTAATTTTTTTTTATCGTATAAAATGTTTATCAATTATAATGTAACGCTGTGTGTTCGGGGCGTCTGTGCTTTTTCATCTCGATGGGGATGCCGCCCAATGTTTCCACTTTGGCCGTCAACCGAAAAAGTACTAACACCGCGAGACGTCCAGCGAATAACATTATAATACGATTTCGATGAGTATAATAATATAAGTTTAGGTAAACGGATTTAGGCACCTAACGAAAGTTAAAAATAAATAAATCACGTCAACGTATAATATACAGAATTCGAATCGTGTACAAGAGAATTATTATAAGTTAAAAAAAAATAAGACTCCCTGCAGTGGCGCATTTTGGCGTATAATACAGACATATAATATCTAAAAAACGATATAAAACGAAGTCTCAAGTCTTCTCGATCGTCTCAAGTCCAAAGCTCACACGGACGAAACCATAAAACGTGGCGGCCGACAATCGTTTTTATATAACATTATTATAATTAATCAACGTATACACACTATTATAACATTTAATTATGAGCGAGTACGCGACGGACCTTCGCTGCTGACGGTCGTGGAGTGGTTGAGTGGTGGGGGAGGGTTGTCCCAACATCCGGTCAGAGCCGCTCGTAGTTCCGCCGGCGGGTCTTGCCGTTGCGCCAAGCGTACGTTTCGAAGTCCGTTTGGATCTGCAGGAACGATTTGCCCTTAGTCTCAGGCACGCAAAAGTAGCAGAAGAGGCCGCCAAAGAAGGTGATCACCGCGTACCCGATGAAGTTGGCGCGCTTGCCGTATGCGTCAGTCACCGGCTGGTAGATCTTCAGCATGATGGTGGACGTGAACGTGATGGTGAACACCACCGCCGAGTTGGCGAGGCCACGGGTGTCCGATGGAAAGTACTCGCACTGGATGACGGACAGCACGGGCATGAGTCCGATGTTGATGAAGAATTCTGCGCCGCACACGCTGGCCAACAGCAGCCAACCGTCCATGTCGGCCGTGGGCCCGACGCCGACGCTGCCGCCATCGTCCCCTGACAGCAACGCGGCTATAAACACGTGGCACAGAGTGGTGCCCACACACGATGCCATGAACAGCGGCCGCCGGCCGTACTTGTCCACAGTGAGTGCGAACGGCACGCACGCCACCACTATGAACAGACCGAATATCACGGCGCTGGCGTTCGGCGACAGCCCTGTGCCGTACAGCACGGACGACGCGTACGCTTCCATCACGCTCGCGCCGCACGCCATCTGCAGGGCAGCCAACGTGAGCACGATAATCAACGGGGCCCGATCCCTGTGTAGCAGGTCCGTCAGCTGTCCCTTGCACCTGCAGCACAAAAAAGAAAGTGGTGAATGAATGCAAAAACAACATGCCGTAATTATAATATATTATTATACTACCTACTAACTGTATAGTCTGCAGAAGTCGCAAACTCAAAATACCTACCAAATTTTCAAATTACGAGTGTGGGGCAAAAAAAAATGAAATAATGATTTTAAGTGATAGTATGATATGTCATAAGTTATAAGTTATGACTTATACAGTGTATAGGTACTAGTATTGTTTTGTACTTTAAATTAAATATATATTATAATATGCTTAGTGGTTTATGACCATATAGGTTACAGTTTTAGGTTTGATTGATATTTTTGATGTTACAAGTATTTAAGACTAAGTCTAACTATATAATAATATTAATCTTATACATATTATATTTACACTAATTAAAATAATTCATTATTTGATTCAGCAAGTAGCATCAACGTAGGTAGCCAATTGGAGTTGTTTTGGCATACGCGTTCGCCGGTCTTACATATAAACGATTAATTTTCATAGGTAATACTGTGATATGTTCAAATGTTTTAACTATTATTATTCCAAAACTATGCGATAACAGTATATTAAATCCAATGTATTACATTTTGTATTATGTATTTCATAATTTTGTATACCTAGGTGTAACTTCTTTTTTTTTTTTTTTGGTCCGTCTATATATTTTCAGACAAATTTATTGAACGAAATAAAGTATATGTACATAATAATATCGTTAAATTTGGAGTAATGTACGTGTTTTGTTTGTAAATGTCATGAAAGAAAATGAAATCGTCGTTTGCAGTAGTTTTGCATACATAATAATACGTGAAGTCGCATACCTATATCGTAAAATACAACTTTCCCCAAACTCCTGGCGTAATTCTTAAAAAATATATATTATGCTGTAAAATGTGCACAATGTGAATTTAAGATCTGAGTTTTCAAATGTCGATGGATCAAACTTAAAGATGTACTTAACGTTTGAATAAGGGCCGCGGGGCTAAGGTTCGAGGACAGGATGTGGTCCGCAGATCGGAAGTTAGCGGCCTCCGGTGGTACTTGGAACTATACATAGTCGGTACACAAACAATTGTCCCAGTGACGTTACCGAAAGCTCGTAAAGAACAGTTCGTCGGTAAATATCCAACGGCAATGGCAATAATATAATAAAATCATGGAATGTTAAATCTATTGTGGACCATATGATATAAGACGGTCGATAAGACTTAAACGCTTTACTTATTGTGTAGGCATAACACTGATATGGCCTGTCACTCGCCAATTTCATTAAGTTCTGGAACTGTTTACGTTATGATTGCATAAGCTAATAAGTTTGTTAAGATAAAATTGTAAGTTACATCATAGTACGCATTACCTATCTTAATATTATGTTCTAATAATTAAGTAAATAAATGTTATTTTAATTTATACTTTAAAATGTTTTGTAATTTATAATTTGCAATGCCAAATGCTATGCACTTAGTGAGGCTAATTAAAATCAGTATAATATTACATAATATGGATTACAACATATAATTAATATTATACGAGCATAGCATAGATAGATATATAACGGTAGCTTAGATTTAATGGAAAAATTATTAGATTGTTTAAAAATCTATTTTTTTTCTAAATAATAAAAAAAAGATTATGTATGCTTCGTCAGTCGACTACGATGGTCAGTTCATGGTTTATAATAATTTATATAATAATTAATTTAATATTTGTATAGGTAGGACGTAGGTACTATATATAACATGTCCATATCTGTTAAATTTAATGATTAATGATAAGACGATAAACTAGCAGTAATAACATGAGTAATAACTGATTGCACCTACCACTCACTGATTGCTTATTACTATTCACGAATTGAAAATCGTTTAAAACTCGTTTTTCGACAAACCTATAGGTTTGTGATACTAAACTAAAATATTATTCGAATGGAAATTGGTGGGGCTATAATAATTTATTTTAAGGCCGGTTGCAGAGCCGTCATTGATACAATCGACCACAGTGATCAGTATTATAATATACCTACTGGATAATTAATATTCGGATACAGTCGGTATCGTCAGTCTTAGGTTATAAGTTTAACAATGTGTAGTCGCGATAACTATTCACTCGAGTGTATTGCGAAATTATATTCGATAAAACCTTAACGCGAGAGTGTAATATTATCATCGTTATTAATAATTAGGTACTACTACAGCAAGACATTACTTTTCTTCGGTGACGGACAGTCTGACGATCTCGAGCTCTTCCTCGAACTCTTCGTCGCCACAATTCCTCAGCTTCCTCAACGACCGGGCCGCCTCTTCCGGTTTTCCCACCATCATGAGGTAGTACGGCGATTCCGGTATGGCCACCATCAGCACGCCCGTGATGACCGGTATGACCGCGCCGACGATGGCCAGAGTCTCGTAGCTGGCGAGCCATCCGACCACGTAGGCCAGCAGCAGACCGGAAGCGTAAGTCAGCTCGACCACCAGGGCCAACGATCCCCTGACGGATATGCTGGCCATCTCTCCCACGTACGACGGGGACACGATCAACGAGATCGCCATGGCGCTGCCGTGCAAAAATCGGGCAGCGTACAAGTGCCAGGGCTGTACACACATACACAAAAGCGTCAAGTATACGATTATTATTATTATGTCGCCGATAGGGCGTACACATACTTAATATATACGGAGGATCATAGAATGTGTTTGTTAGAGAAATGTTGAAGATAATAATATATATTGTATCTCATGTATACGATTTGTAACCCGAAGTTCTGATCAACACTATAAATTTGGTACACGTGGTGGCCATCGATTTAACGTATTTAATTATTAATTAATTTATATTCGAGAGCCATCGTGTGAGCAATCGTATCGTCCTACGTTAAACCGATCGTGCCTCGTGGATAAGTACGGTGATGACGAGTTTGCCGATCGAATGCGTTCGGTTGGTGCCGTGGTGGCGGAAAAATAAAACGTGGCGACTTACCTGCCGAGCGGCTAGTATCAGTATCCAGCCGGCCAGCGTTATCGGCACCGTCAAGTACACGGACATTTTCCTCCCGATTTTGTCCATCATAATACCGGCCGGTAACGACAACAGTACATTGCCGACGTCTATCAGAGTTACCATCCACGACTCTTGTTCCGAAGTCAGGTGAACCGGTGCCGTGCCTTTCAGCGTGTATTCCATCATCGGCGACGACCATCCCAGCGTTGTACCGGCCATCAACAGTGGCATGGACACTGACAATCAAACAACACGGACATAGTGCATTTATTTCATTAATTACAATGTCGGTGTGCAACATCAACAAAAACAACAACAATAATAATAATAATATTTTAAAATAAAAATTAGACGATTCGGTGGAAACGCACACGGGACATACCTATGAAGCACGCGAAAAGTTGTTTGCAGATGCCTTCGGGTAGGGTAGACATTTTGTTATTTTAAAACGGGGTGGTATCGTTCGGTATTACGATAGTTATTGTACGAACGATAAACGATCAACCCGTTCGTCGTGCACGTTTGTTAATACTAAAATGAAATAATATAACGTTTCAAAATAAAACGGCTATATCCGTCGGTGAATAATCTATAAACTAGATGAACTGACCTTTTCGTTATCGACACATCGCAACAACTGCGGGTAACGTTAATTCCCGTTCACACAATCACACTATAATAATATTAGTAACAGTATTATAGACATATCGTAATGACCGGACGAACACAATTCGTTAACCTAACGTCGCTTACTCATATAGACATAACGAATCCAACTCGTTTGTGTTCGGTCCTTATCCACTCTAGTCGCCATTGTCGGTGCTTCAAATAATAATAATAATAATAATAATAATAAACAAAAGAAACAAACGAGAATATAGCAATAAAATATAATTGTATGTTATGTATTATTATATAGGTACGAGAGTTAAACACAACGAACTTGTTCAAGCCTCGTCGGAAATAGGAATACGTTGTTAGTTAAATATTAGCGTACACACACTATAAGTAATACGTATAATATACATTGTAGGTAGGTACACACTACACACGACTATACGAGCAGAACACTCAAGTTTACAGAAAGTTCGAAAAACCTAATAAATTTGTTCACTGTTATAATATGCTATTAAGATAATAATATAACGATAATAGCATATAAAAGCATAAACATACGACTCTCGTATACTCGGTAGGATAATCGATGAAGTAACATAAAAATATAATATCAAGTCGTCAAATTCTATAAGCACATGACAATAAAAATAAAAATATTAAACATGATTTTTAAGTGTTTTAACAATTAATATTATAACGACTAGAAAACTAAAAGTTTGAAATTAATTGTATTTAAGAAAATAAAAATAAAATAATGATAATTAATATATGGACACGTGGTAGCTGCAAGTGTTGTAGACAACCGCATGAGTATAAACCTGAACTAAAAATTTACATGAATATCGATTTTTGACGAACTGCTTAAGCGTAATCATTAAAATTAGACCTATTGATATCAAAAAACTCAACTATGTAATAATATATTATATAACTTGTAACTATATAGTATCATATTGCATTACACACTACAGAGTGTAAGTAAAAAATATGTTTTGTCTATAATTATATAATAATACAATTTTTTTATTATTAATAAATAATAATGTACCTATAGTTAAGAAAATAGTAGGTATTGAGCTTGTCATATTTTATTCCAAAAATTACCACTAAAATCTGCCTAAAAGTCACTAATTAAATCATGAACCTTTCAATAATTAGGTAATAAATTGGTGTAAGGCAACCGTAACCATAATTTTGTCCCCTTATAGCGGGACGCCTGTAATTGTTGATAAGGGAAAACACATAGATTTTTTATGATTTTCTTATTATTTTTTCCATAAAATGAGCATAGGTACATACATAGTATACACAAGTATAAGTTGTACCATGTTCATAGCGTAGGTACCTACTTATTTAATTCTAGTATTTTATAGAAACGTGACAGTCGTATAATAGTCTAGCCAACTAATGTCTAATATTTTAAATCGGTTTATTGTGGTAAAAAAAACAAGTCGGGCTTAGTTAGTCATAAATTATAATTAGTCGTGTGTTTGTAGAAGATTGTACTCTTAATATACAGAGTGGGCACCATGTTTTCCCGTTTTCAAGTGTTAATCGTATGAAGAAACATGATGGGCCACTCTGTATAGGCTAAGATGATAAACTAACATTACAGGCCATTAAAATTACATTATTAAACCGAATTGATAATATTTTCAACTATTTAAAACCTATTACTATACTCTCTATAAGGAAATAAGATTAAGTAGATAATATTATAAAAATTTGTATTATATAGTTAAATTTTATCCAATTAAGTTTAGTAAATTGTATTTGTGATACGGTGAACTATACTAATTCACATACTAGTAAAACCTAAACTTCGCTGGTAGAACTTAGTTTCTATTTTCTAATATAACTACATTACAAGTATTTTAACTAAAATATAACTGATCTCGGACCATATATTTCGCTATTAACAATTGACTTATTAATTTAAAAGAAATTGACAGAAAACATTTTTTTTTACCGAATTTTGAATCTTAAATAATATATTGACAGAAAATATTTTATTTCACCGAATTTCGAATCTTAAATAATATATGAATTCCTTTTCAATCACAAATCAGTGATATCATACATGATATTTTAATATTTTGGATCTGGTCAAATTTGATGAAAGCAATTTAACAAATATTGAAATTTGTTTAAATACACTATTATAATGATATATCATCGATAATATTATCATTGTACTCATATTTAAGAGTACAACAATTATTTTATAATATGAAATGTGTTGGTCGTGCATGCATGAACGGAAATATTCAAAGGAGAGTTAATTGTTAATGTTGTGTAAAATGGTGAACTGTGTACGTATACAAATTATTCATTAACTATGTGCTATCATTATTTTAGGATACCTTTCAATAATAATATTCTATTAAATATTTTTCTTTTATAATAAACACTATATTATATTTTTAATTTTTTTTCCTTTAATGTTTGTTCATTGTGACGACCACGAGGATTTTATTAATGCTTATCAAAAGTGGGTAGTAGAAAATTCATGCGGTCCATTTATCAATACATATAATATATTGCCACTGATTAAATATAATGGTTAATTTAATCTTTGATATTACTATATAGGTATTATTAGTGCATGCCGCACTACCTTCTTTCAAATAGGAAATGGTCGGACTGAACACCCAGTGGAGTGGGTTCTTGTTGGAAAACCGAACGATACATTTATTGGACGAGAGCATACTATATTATTTTTAACAACATATCGAACAAAATATTTTATTTTAATGAACGTTGATAGTAAGGGTTCATCGATAGTTGGTTTTGAGTTTTGATTTCGATACTTTATGGTAACAGATAGTTTTAAAAGTCTTGAAACATTATAACAGAAATAGGTAATTTTGAATATTTTCCGTGTCATTAGATAACTGTTGTTTAACTTTTATTTTTTTACGTTTCTACTTTAAAGCATCGTTCTGTATATTGTTGTAGTGTGTGGAGCAATTTCTTTAGTAGACTTTAATCTAGAAGAAAATTATAAAAATGTGAATAATATTGTATTTTTTACACAATTAGTGCTATACATAAGTAGCGTGCGCAGGTATTATCGGAAGTGTAGTCATGCTGATAATATACCTAACCGAGTATTTACGTTGAAAGACTTTAAACTTATAGTTCCAACAACTATTCAGGATGGGTCTGAGCTAGAACAATTAAACGCATAAACATATTAACCACATTTGTTTATTTTATTAATATTAAAATCATTGTAATAATAAAACAAATAAAACAAATACATAAATTATGTTAATTTTTTATGAATAATTAGTATAATAAATACAAAATAATCTTTAACCTTTATTATCTACAAATGTATACGATTGTCGGATTGTGAATTTATGACGATACCTACTGCAAGTCACTATACCTAGTAGTGATTATTTCCACACTTTCATACCAAATATATTTGTAAGATAAATTGTTCTAATTTATAACTGATAATAAATATTTTTGAAATCAAACGATAATGGTTAATTTATAGAAGATAAGTATATAGATTATAGACATAAGTTATAAATTAAGACGTATAGTTTTATTAGTTCTCAATTTATCATACAACATACCTAAGGCTATAACACTTATTAAACGTCTTGTTGTATTAACATAATAATTAATAACACCTTAAACATATTATCACCCATATACACGTGTACCATCGGTATAGATCATGAAGTTGCTTTATCATATGAAATGTAATGGTTAGATTAGTTGTAACTTGTAACCACTGTCCACTAATTATGCTGTTATACAAATTGTAAATTGTTCCTTCTGTTCATCAATATAAATATTTATTTCTCTATTGAATCAGTCATTTTTAGAATAGTAACCTTTAAGTGAGATAGGTATACTTATTTTAAATACAATTATTTAATATGAATTTTATTTTAGTGTAAACTGTAAAATCACTTAAACATTTCGTTTTTTAAAGTTATTCCTTAGATTTTTTGTCAAACACATAAATGTATATAAGTATCTCACAATATTTAAAAATACATATTATCTAAAAATTATACAATATTGTAGGTAGTAAAAACTAGAAATACCTAAGTATTTTAGTATTTTACTTTCAAATTTTAATGTTACACTTTATTGTCAAGATGTAAGCGTTTTCATTACTTATCTGGAATTACTAACTCTGTGATGAATCGCATTATTGTTCAACGTTTTAAATAAAATAGCATGTTAGTACCTATATAGTCTTGTTTGTACAGATATATTTGTAAAAGATAATATCAAAAGGTTGCTAGATATTCCTTTATTTATAAGTACTTTTTATTAATTTCGAAAGTCAAAATCATAAGAAATATAAACAAGAAAATGTATTAATATTATGGTACGGAAAAAATTAATTCAGCCCGTTTTAATATCAGCCATTTGGTATAGGTATACCAATATGAACTTTTTCCTTATAACTTTTTATTAGTACCTTTACCTTTCGATTTTGATTTTATATCTCAAAAAAAACAGTGTTGAAATAGATAACTCGTAAGGCATAACACTCAAATAAATAACAATAAGCGATTACGCTCAATGACAAGCATTATAATTTATATTAAATGTAAGTTAAATTTAAATAACCTTTAATCGTTGACCGTTGTACATTTTCAATAATTTTTCATAGGTTCATACTTCAAATCTTATTTGATGTTATTCATATTCACAAATTATTCATATGGTTTAATCATTTCAAACACGATGTAGGTATAGTGTACCTAACTATTCAATTTAAATCGATATTCAAATATTGTCGTTTCAGAAAATATTATTTTATTTTCATTTGCTATTCACATATTCACTTGTATTACATTTAAAGATGACTAAATACAGTAGGGTATAATATGTTATATAATAGTAAGTATATAATATTGAGCCTTGACAAGTTGACGGGAACAGTCGCGATTTTCAACTGTATTTCAACTAAATCTGTCATACAATTTATGCAATTATTTTATTAATATTTTTTTTCTCACCAATTAGGATTTATCTTGGTAACCTGTTTCATAAATATATTTTATATATTATTCAATATTATATTGTTTAGTTATATACCTACAAGTAATATTACGGTATCACACATATTATAAATTATAATAATATGATGCAATTATATCATACATTGAGTATTGTATATTATTACTTCATAAACCAAATAATAGTTTATTTTAATTACAGATTTATGATTTGATATTTTTATAAACGATTTTTTTAATGATTCGGTCGATTAAAAAAATGTCAAAAATAGTAATAATAATAATAATAACAGTAAAGCAATTTATTATATTGTTATAAATTATTACACATAGTAATCGTTCCATTATATTCCATGTGTAGGTACCAAAATTGTTTTCTAATAAAACAGAATTTGTTTTATAAATAATGCAATAACTACCAACAGGATTATAATGAAATGTCATCAACTACAGTATATATACATTATAAATTAGAATTGTAATTTGTATTCACATTAAAATAATAATTCACTTGTCAATATATTATAGGTATATTAATTTACATAATAATAATAATAAACTATAATAGTATAATATATTGAGGAACATGATGATACTAGTGTACCCGGATGTGGCATTTGTGTATTTCGGTGGTTTTATATTTTATTTAATTTCTTAATTTTTGATTGTATAAAATCTACATGACGATGAAAAGCAGCGGCGTTTATAATTAACAGATTACCCAAAATTATTATTTTAATTATTGTATGGCGTCTTTACTCTATATTAACCCACAGGGTTTAGTTTATTTATTTACGTTAAATGTGGGTATACAACTGACAGTTCAGTTTAATATCTACATCGACCGGGTACTGTTAATACGAATGTCAAGTGGGTTCTGCATTTCGTCAGTCCGACAGGAAACTGTAGTGTTTGCCGAAACTCAATCCTTAATAATTTTTCGGGTGAAAAATGAAAATTCTACCGTTATTAATGTGACAGTAGTAAAATACGGCAATGAAATAAAAATGTACATACCTAGTCATAAAGTAGGATAATAAAATTAACATTTTCTCGTTAAAATATCTTATTTGAAATGTACAAAATGTTTATAATGTCTTTTATCAACTGCTGAGCGGGTTAACCACTATAACCTTGTTCGGACATTTTAATTATGTTTAGTTACTCATAATAATTTTCACCCTAAATGTATACCGTGATAATAATAATGTATATATAGCTACTAGCTATATTGCGTTTTTGTTGAAACGCAATTAATTTATGTTTTCTCCGGTACAAAGAAAAAAAAATGATTTATTTGCTGTATAACCGTATTTGGCTATACTTATTTATATATATTTTATATTACACTATTTAAGTACACCCATAGTTTTATAATTTTTCTTTATTAACGTCTTAAATGGTCTTAGGTACATGCATAATATTGCTATAGAAGGACGATAAAGTCGAGCAACCGGAGAGGTATATTCATGTTTATTAGACGAATGGAAATCTGAGATGGATCGAATCACGTAACGTGAGCCTTATTATACCACGCTAGATACCTACGTGTAATAGATTTTCATGGTAATGAATATTATTCACCGAATGGTATGTATTTTTATTGTGTTGCGCGGTATCCAGTGTTGTTGTTAAATGTTTATAAAAAATGTAGATTGACCATTTCATAGTAAATACTTGCGATGTGCTTAGGAGATGGATATCACAACGTCAACTTATAAATCGATTACAGTAATAATTAATATAAAAAGCGTTTTAAACGCCTGTTTATATTTTTATATAGTAATAAACATTTTGTGTAATATATTTATGTACAACATTGTAATTTCCATTTTATACGAATTTCAAGTTTAACGAAAATGTAAAATACTTTATCGTTTTATTATGAAACTACTTTTTAATATTACAAAAAATCCATCATAAGCTTACATGCGGTACTGCGGTGGATACAATTTGTATACATTCATAATCATAAATTCATTGTTGAAAAATAAAAATCAAATTTCGTTAAACGTAATTGAATTTCCATAAAATTATTAGAACCCATATACACGGTGTACTGTTTATGACAGGCGTAAATAATATATATTTATAAAAGAAAACTTACTAACCATTTTCGTTGGTGTAAGAAAAAAAATACAAATTTAAATAATACTCTAAAACTACATTTGAAAATAATATATGATTGTAGTTGCATATTTGCATCCATACAAAAAGTAAATAGTTTACTTTCATACACAATCATATATTTTGTAAATTCAATTAATTATTGATGTTAACACGGGAATTTACTGCATCACACCGTGATCATGTGTCATATATGTTTTCGACATAAAATAATTTCATTAAATATTATATATTATCATGAACAAATTTGTTTTTAAATTATCATGGTAGGCATGTATATATTATTTTATTATTTTACTTATTCTATTAGTTTTTGTCGTAATTTAATATCTCACTGAATTCTGGGATATTCGTTAGAGTGCTACACTTGTAGATTCCTCACTACTGTGGTACCCCTATAAGTATAAAACAGCCCGAATTGGTTTGTAAAAGCGAAAATACTTTTTATTTAACAATATCGTTTGAACGGATATTGAATATATTAATATCATTATAATAATGTAGGAGGATAATATTACTCGCAATACTCATCATGAATTCTCTTTGAACATAATTATTACATTTTCTTTATGATAATAAATACTTATATAATAAATTATGTTATATTAAAATATAGTCTTATCAAATAGTTCTCTCGTATATAATATGTACAATATTGAATATACAATACATAGGTAGGTTATATTTTTAACGTAAAACACTCAGCTATTTAATATTTGTTATTATTCAAAACATATATAATAAAACATTGTTGTAGTTTCTAATTTTAAGGTTTTGTACTTTTGTAATTTTGTACTCTGAACCAGAAAATGGTTTTGTTGAATGTTGACACAGTCACTTATTATTAAAAACGTATTGCTTTATTTTAGAATATGTACCAATAGTCTATAAATGAGTATATAATATTATATTTAAAGTTTAGTTAAGAGAAACAGTGAACTTATTTACTTTACCAATACGAGATATAGTTAGTTAAGGTCACTAGAACATGCAAAATGTAAAATGTAAATACATATAATATAATATTATGTTATTACCAATACTATGAAATTTAAAATAAGTACTAGTGTCAATCAATTAATACAAAACCTTAACAATCACTGTGATAAATATAGATATCTTGCTATCTTAATTAATCGTAAAAATAAATATAATCTAACATAATATAACTCAGTATACAATTCTACAACATCCATTTGAGGTAGACGACGATAATCTTGCGTTGAAATATACGAATCAAGGTTATACTGAATGGCACATAATTTGTATATTGTTTATAATTTATTGTACAGGTGTACCACTAAAACATTTGATACGGTTGAATGTATTGTCGTCTTAGAACACCCCGTGCAGTATACTCGTATAATAAAACAACAGGTGCGAGACTCAGATCTCCTGATAATCACACAGTGTGTGAGCTCCGTTGTTGGCGTGCCGTTTAGTCTTGTGAAAGTCCACTTGTATTTCAGCGAACGATTTTTGCTTGGTCTCGGGCATGAACAGGCAACAGAACAGGCCGCCGGCTAGGGAAGCAGCCGAGTAGATACCGAAGTTGGCGGATGCGCAGAGGGCGTCGGCCACCGGCTGGTAGATTGTGATCATGACTGTGGACGTCATCGTGACGGCCAACACGACGGCCGTGTCGGCCAGGGCCCGGGTGTCGGACGGGAAGTACTCGCACTGGACGACGGACAGCAAGGGCATGAGGCCGATGTTGATGAAGAACTGGGCTCCAGCTATTGGCCAGAACAGCGGCTGCCAGCTACGGCCGACGACGTCTCGCCGCCAGAGAACGCTGGCCACGGCCGCGTGACAGGCGGCCGTGCCGAAACACGAGACGATCATCAGTGGCCGACGGCCGCAACGGTCCACAACCAGCGCGAACGGAACGGCGGCCACCAGCACGACTAGGCCCAAGTACACAGCGGACGCGTTGGCTGATATATGCGTGCCTGACATGATGGTCGCCGCGTATGCTTCTAACACGCTAGCCCCGCAGGCCATTTGTAGTACGGCCAACACAATGACGATCACCAGCGGGCGACGGTCTCTGCTTAACAGGTCTCTGACGCTCCCTTTATCCCTGTAAAAATAATGTCAACAACGGAGTTGTAAATGGTATTAGAGGTATATTATTAGAATATTATTAGAATTAAGTGTATCACGCATACAAATTACTCAGTGTATACTCACTGTACTAAACTCTACACTCAAAACCTTAAGAAAATTCGGTGAAAAGTTCGAAGTCCGAGTGGGACTTCAAATCAAAATCTAAGTAGTTCAACAAGAAATTCGGGTGAAGTGAACTAAACTATAAGGTGATAATCATTTTCGGAGGGCAAACCCAATTAAATTTTTTAATCGAATGACGAATGTTAATATTAATGTTACAACAAGGTAATATGTTTATTCATATGATATTTTGACATTGATAACGACGTTTGATTTTTAGGATGAAGAGTATTCAGCTTTCTCTACCCCCCCTCCCTCCTCGCCCTTTCATCAGAGTAGCACCAATATGGATCAAGCATTGGTATATAATTTATCTGATATGTATAACTGAGAATTTATTTAATAAATTTTATCACAATACGATAGTTGTATGAATACAGACAAATAGGTAAACGTTTGCAAGCAAGCCTCGTGCGATTTAGTATATTTTTATCATACCGTTATATCGTATAGGGGTGATGATACTTTAGGACTTTTGGTGTATTGTACGGTGCGCTCGCAGATTATAGGTACATATTATATGTATATAGGAAAATAAGTCGCCGTGGCACGTGTAGGAGAGGGAAAACCAATTTTGTTTTTCGTTGTTGTTTTTTTCTCGCGGGTCTTCCAAAATTGCTATAAATATTTACACGGCTTTCCTTTTGTTGGTGTACGTCACTGTGTACCGTTTGACGAGATCAAAAAAAAATAAAAAAAAACGAAGCGATAAACACAATTCCCTCGAGACAATCTCAACCGAAAACTGGTAAATTAATTTAAAAAGTTGTTCACAAACACGTCGCAGTATAGGTATATAATAAAGTCATGTAACAAATATTAAAAAAACCTACCTTGAATTAGTTGAATAATAACAGAAAATGTACTTTGAACGTAACATAATCGTTTTGATTAAAGTGTAGAGTAACATTAATATCATTCATTAAGAATATACTAATAACTAATAAGTAATAATATTAAATATGAGATTAAACATTAATAAAAACTTTCCAAGTAGGTATAGTCACCAGACACCAAAGTCTATCTACTCTATGGTATGACTTACCTCGGTATTTGTATAATAGTACCTAGCAACTATTGCTTATACCTAACACTGAGACAAATTTAACAACTTAAAGTTTATTTTAAATAGATACTAGTATATTTATTTTATCTTACTATATTATTGTTTGTACAAACACCAACTTTTAATCGATGTCTTCGTTAACAGACTTAATCATTTGAGTTTTTAAACCCTATTTTATATAATATGTTTACTTCTAAGAAAATAAATTATACCTTTGTTGTGAACAAAATTTATGCATTGTTGCTTAAAATAATGTTTATGTTTATAACTTCAAACGGAAGTCAAGATTGTATCACTGAAATTGTTGTTTTATTATCCATATATGTATTTTGTTATTGGCGTTGAAATTAAAAATACGAGTTCTTGTTTTCAAAATGTAATTTTGTTTATGTACATAACTTACTCATAACTGTTGACTTTTTTTATTTTATTGGTAGGTAATAAACATCACGTTTAATGCAATTATAAACTTCTCCGTGTTGTGGGGCTCAGAGGGAATAAGAATTAATTTGGTAAGGATACACCTCGCGAGTAAACGTATTTATTAAATAAAAAAAACCCAGCGGCCTATACTCCCTGCAGGTTGCAACGACACACTTTATTGGATTATAATATTATACTGTTCTGTATGCATGCGCCCGTATACAACGTATATTATTATAAATTATAATATTGTACTTATACATACCAGAGATACCTCCCTCTAAGTCTAAACTGTACGTAATAGTGTGTGTACCTACGTTATATTATAAAGATGCATATTATAAAATATGTACCTATGTACAATTTGTAAAACGAATATAAATAGGGTATTAGTAATTATTATTATAACGAAATAAAAAAAAATATAGATAGGCACCTACATAAATATTAATTTCATAACATACATCGACTGTATAATATAATATACCTATAAACAATAAAATATAAGCGAGATTGTCGATGTATATTATACAAACATATTTTGAACGATGAGATGAACGGCTTATATAGCCACCCAAGTCCTTGAATATAAACGATACCTACGGTAAAAATCCCTAATGTGAATGCGTCTCGTGACGTTCGAACACGCGTCACTCTCATCATACGATATATGTACCCGTCGGGGTTTACTGCATTTGATGTAGGTTGTATGATATGGAAACTTCTACTGGAAAAAAAAGAAACGTCTCTTCGCAAACAAGCAGCGGCACTAAAGTTGTAGAGGGACATGATGACATAATAGACACCTGCGATTTGCATAATGTGTACATGTAAAATGTAATATGTATATAGGTATTTTATACGGTTATAATGCAGTTTACGGACGATTGTCACTATAATAGCACCTTTATACGCGAGAGCAGTCATCGCTATAATTCGAAACTAGATATAAATTGACAAAGCCGTTTACTCGGAAGGAGTGTTTTATTCAATTTACCTAGATGTCATCATTGTTATATTAACTCGATAAGGAACTTAATGATATTATAAATTCAACAAATAACTTTTCCAGTCTTTCTTCTGGAGTTTTCGACAGTCGACCATTTCCAATTTAGAACATATTATTTCACTGGACCAACTTTTTTAGATTTAAATTTTTTCCTCCAAAAAACTGCACCACTAGTACAAATACACATTACACACGTTACCTTGACACATATTTCATACCTGTCGTTTGAAATGGAGTGTTTGACGGTCAACAGTTCGGTCTGTAGATCTTCGTCCGTGTAACTCCTCAGAGACCACAAGCACACGGCCGCTTCCTCCGGTCGGCCATCCAGCATCAGGTAGTACGGTGACTCGGGCAGGAACATGAACAGTGCGCCAGACACGACCGTCAGGCAGGTCGATATGGCGGCTAGTGCGGTGTAATCGCCGAGCAGCCAACCGGCCGAGTACGAGAACAGCAGGCCCAACGCGTAGCTGATCTGCACTAACAGGCTGAGCTTGCCACGTATCCGGATGCTGGCCATCTCGCCGACGTACGCCGGAACCACCACCCATGCGATTCCCACGGCAAACCCCTGGAGCAGCCTTGCCACGAACAGACACCATGCCTGAAGCGTGGAATATAATGAATTTATAGTTTTATTATAGGTTAGAATAGGTGTCATGTGTGAAAAATTCACAATTTTATTATAAAAATTGTTTTTGCGAGCAATTGATTAACGATAGAGTTTCCGAACCAATCGTGTAATTAGTAATTACATGCTATTTATTGGAGTCAATAAAATGAGAAAAAAAATATTTTTCATATATTTTAGGAACACATGTGTCTACAGCCCTCGCTTGATTTTTGATTTTACGATTTTACGCTTATACCAATAGCCTGCGAATAAATAATATCTATATACATAATCATACTCATTGATTAAATTTAACTAGAAATTAAGTAACTGTAACTATAATGGTCTTTGCTGCAGTTTTTATAACTTATAAGACCAATAACAAAAAAAAATATATACAATAAATATCTATATGAATTAATTGATTACATATTTTTGGATATTTTATCTTATCATGTGAACTCATGTCAAAAAACTCTCGTTATCAAATGTACTTATTGTATTATTATCAACATAAATTGTAAATAAAATAAAAATAAAAAAAATGTCTGAACAACGAAATGAAAGAATAATTTATTTCTAAGTGCCTATTTGAAACATATCGCAATAGTTGTATGACGTTCAATTTGAAGTTTCGTACTTAGATTGCCGATTCCCGCAAACAACCCCTTACGCGGAATTCGTTATTTTTTTTTTTTATCATTATTATATTATTCACCCTGTACCACGGTCACGAGGGATCCGAAAACGACAGTAACGGCAACGACGACGACGCTTTTTAGAAACAACGGTTTCTGTATAATATGACGTTAATATTCATTGTTTGAATACAATCTCTCAGCGCCCCCGTAATGATAAATTGCCGAGCGTGTTACTTTGTTATTATTATATATGTTTGGGTTGGCATAATATATGTGCGTGAGTGTGTGTGTAGGTGTGTGTGTGTGAGTGTGTGTGTCTGTATATGTGCGTGTACGGCGAGAATAACACATTATAATATTTTCACCGCACCACAAACATGGAAATTATTTTATTTCCCGAAACAGCGCAGTTTTCCGACGACCCAACCCCGCCGGCGTGTATATATTAATGCGCGGGCGCGCGTGCTTAATAATAATATACTCGGCCCGGTTTTTTTTTTTTTGCGAATTTCCAAACGAACGTTGCAATATTATCGCACCGTGTTGAACTAATTTTCTGCAGTTATACGTATGTATTAATATCACTGCCTATACCGCCCTGTATTGGATAATATAAACTCTACATTGGCGTTGATTTTCGTTTCCAACACGTTTGTATATTATATATTATAATATGCATTATTTTTTATTATTGTGATTGGTGTTTTGATGCCTCAGCAGACTGCTTCTATAAACTATGTAGCGGAATTTTCGAGACCATACTCTTTAAATTGTGTACCTAGTGATCCGTTTAGATTATTGTGCTGAAAATGTCACTGATTTAAAAACTTAATTATTATTATGATTACGTCTCTACAGTATTTTTTTTACACCGTACACACAGCATTTGTTTCACGACAACGTCATTACAGTGTTTTTATTATTCATTTTTTATATTTTAATTCCTTTTTTTTTTTTTAAACAAAATATGAATAATTTTTTCTTTGTGCTAAATATTTTATAACGCCTACAAAAATATAATCATACCAAAACGAACACAATGCCTAAAGATATATCTTGACATTTCAAACCTTGATATTAAAAAACGGATATCCCTGAGAATAAAACTATATACATATTTCAATACTTCAAGCTTATATATGGTAGAATACTAGAATATACAATTTAATTTTTACGGTTATTTGATCATTTTAACTAAGGTTTATGTAATTTATATTCTATTATTTTCAAAATCATTGATTCAGTTACTGTCCAATGTTTATATTATTGTATAACATAATGTTTTGATTATCTCCTAATTATAATCATATAGGTAATAGGTGCATAATAATGGTAATATTAAACAATCATAATAAATGTAAAAATTGTTAATTGGACTGATTTTTTAATTTGAAATAAATCGTTATTATTCTCATATCTATAAACCTAAGTTTGAAGTCATATTAAAAATTTTAACAGCAGATAGTTTATTAATGAAAAAAAAATGTTTTAACATGAATGTCTACTTTATCTTTCTTAGAGATAATAAAAATCATAGATACGTATAGTACGTAGGTAATGTAGCAATTAATTCTGTGAAGTGTATTTGATAATGATAACCTATATAGGTATTTTTATGTATACTTATAGTCTATACAGTGTGTGAAATAAATTATAATATATATAGTATAGGTATTATACATTTTTGATATTCTATATTTCTATTGTTATAAGTTATAATATTTACATTACCTATGGAGTATATATTTAAAGTAGATTAGTGGTGTTGTTTCTCTGTCGATAAGGTTTATTCATAAATAAATAATACTAAATAATTTTTAATATATCTAAATGCGATACTGATGGCTGAGTTTTTCATTCTGACGATGCTTCACATATGGTACTTATATAGGAGGTTCCTATACCTATAAGCGTATAAATATCGGAGGTCGATTCACACGGGTCACTGGGTCGCCTTCGGGTCGCCCAACTTTTCCACACCTAGCCATCCGTGCGTACACGAGTTTACCTAACTAAAAGCAATTACAATATAGAGTTCTCTCTCTCTCTCTCTCTCTCTCTCTCTCTCTCTCTCTAAAAAAAACGTATATATAGTGTATCGCGTGGCAGCAAAAATCGTCAGAAATACTATACAACATAATATAATTAACGACAGGGTATGCACTATGCATCATGGTGCATGCATTAAATATAGTCTATAGCACAGACGTGTTTGATATTCCCATCATAGTAGCTTGTTAGAGAAAACGATATTTAGTAAAACTAATCGTATACGGTGAAAATCTCCAAGGCATAACGTAGACCTCAATGTGTAAGTAAAATATCAAACAAATTTCGAAAATGCTCTTAGAAAATATCAAGTATAGGACCTTCTATAACTGCAGCAGAGATGAGTTTTACGTCATATACCATATTTTATTGTATCAAGTAAGATTTTACTACCTATAAGTACTCGCTGGACAACGGATCTCGTCGCAAACAGGAAATGGCGAGTGGACTGCAGTACTAAATAATTATATAGTAATATTATGAATAATACGAGTGAAATACCATCAATTCGAGTCTATGATGTCAGACGACGCTGCAGTAATGTGACTGCTACGGTGACGTCGTGTAAACATGCACACGATATTATTATATATTATATTGTTATTATTATTATTATTATACTCACTTGTCGGCCAAACAGTATGAACATCCATCCGGCGAACATTAGCGGTGCGGACGCGCCGACGGCGTACTTGCGACCGATCCGGTCCATCAGCCATCCCGCGGGCACGGCCATGGCGAAGTTTCCGACATCAATGCAGGCGACCATCCACGACGTCTCCGTGGACGAAAGAGACAGGGGCGCGTGTCCGGCCGACATGTACTCCATGACAGGTGACGGCCATCCGAGCACGACTCCCGCCATGAACACGGGCAACGACGCTATATGGGAATGCAAGAAAATAAGATAACGGCAAACACTCGTGGGGGGGGGAGAAGCTGGGGAGGCCAGGGCGTGATGGTGTGCTTTATAGTTGGACAGGCGGATTAATAATATTATATGGATTGCACGTCCCCCGCCATACTCTGCTAAAGCTCGCCAAGAGCCAACATTGTAAGAAAGATATGACCCAGTCAACAGATAGGCGTACTAACTTGTGCATAATAATATGATGGAATACCTACCTAAAATGTATGCCATCTTTTTCTAAAACTGATGTTATCATTGTTACTTGTTAAACTTATTTTTCTCTCCAATAATGGGTATTGATGGTCTTAAGTCATATGCTATATTTTTCTTACAATGTGGTGGGACCTCGGACCTCTCTCTCTCTCTCTCTCTCTCTCTCTCTCTCTCTCTCTCTGAGTCCATTTCTTTCATATAGGCCATGGACCCAATATCTTACAAAAGCATTATGAGCTTGGATCTATTATCATATTATACTCAGTACCTACCTACACAAAGTTAAATAACTCAAAACTACTAGCCCGAAGGCTGGTGACCGTTTGGGCAAAGGTAATAATTTTGACCAAAAATGAATGGTCCGTTTGAGCGAGTTAAATTATATTTATACCTGGTGACTTTGACGAGATTGTATTTAAAAAACGGATTCATTATTAATTATTTACCCATATTATGTATATCGTATATGACATATGTTTTTGTTTTAGTTATTGCTTAATTGTTTTTAATGTTGACTGTATATTACAATATTACTATATCAATATATTTTTAAAATTAAGGGTTCATTATTAATTATTTATGATGTTTTTTGTATGTGATTTTATTTTTTCAATATATAAATTAATTTACCTATGAAACTATTATTCAATCGGTACATAACCGCTCAAACAGAACACATTTTGACTTAATTCACCCAAATGGTCTACGCACGTTCGAATATTCATATAGATATATCAACTATTAACATTTATAAAAAGTCATCTGCTTAACAATTATCGAAGGATCAAGGGAAAATCAATTGAAAAAAATAAATCGGCAAAAAACACTCCTTAAATGGTAAATAAAATAAAAGTATTCGAAAATATTATGGTTCTTATAAGTTCATTATAGTAATTGAAAATTGGGATGAAAATGCTTGGTAATTCATCTTGTAGTATAAATCTCGTCATTGAATGCTACATGAGGCAACTAATGTAATATTGTGTACAGTAAAATATCGTTAAAACGAAATTTCATGAAACTGATAAAAAAAATGTCACCAGCTTTCCGTTTTGTTTGACGATAACCTTTGTAAGCTAGTTTAATTCCGTTTTGTTTGGTTATAAATAGTACCTAGTATACATAACATTTGTTGTGTAAATAATTATTTATTTAACAAATCAAATGATTAAATTGTCTGTAAAACAAATAATAAAATCATGAATAAAAATTGATAGAGTAAAATAATTACTGAAGTAATAAAAATTAAAAATCATTTCTAAATATCCATTTAAAGTACATGTTTGGTACGAACAAAATCTTAAATATTTGATAAGTTAATTTTTTTATTCAATATTTTAATAATTTATATTTTAGATTCTGAGTGAAACGATGAATGTATTGATTTTACAATGATGTGTGTTTTTTTAGATTCTGAGCGGAGCGATGAATGTATTGGTTTTACAATGATGTATGTTTTTATATTTTTATTTATATTTTAGATTCTGAGCGGAGCGATGAATGTATTGGTTTTACAATGATGTATGTTTTTATATTTTTATATTTTTATATTTTTATATTTTTATATTTTTATTTATATTTTTGTGTCTGTCATCACGTTTTGGGACAGTAAAAGTGCTTCGATTTTCTTCAATAGTACCTTTTCTGATAGGAAAGTGAATCTAGTTGGTACTTTGGGGGGTCAAAAGTAAACATTTTCCAGTAGTTTTCACAAGCGCCGGGAAAAACAACATAAAAATTAAGGAAAAACGGGAATTTTTACGCAAAATCGATTTTCCAAAAAATCGAATTTGGTTATTGGTGTAACTTTAAAACAAATGACCGTAGATACATGAAATTTTCACTGGTTGTTTATATTTGCATTTTCTATACACGATAACATTTTCAAAATATTTTGATTTATTTTGAACTGTTTAGGGACATTTTCATTTTTCATTTTTTTTTAGTTTTTTTTCTAGAAATATCAATAAAATTTTATTTGTTCGTTGCGAAAGCTTGAAAATTTAATAGAAGGCTCCTAATATGTTGTTTCAAAGGCAGATGAAAAATATTAAAAATCCATAGTCACAATTTTTTTTTATAAGCATTTAAAGTTCAAAAATTGACAAAATATGGAAAAATCACGAAAATTAGCAAATTATTTTGAGTTAAGAATTCGTAAAAATTTTTCTTTTTAAATCTAAGATTTGAAAATGAAACACAAGATTCCTTATAAGATTATCTACCTTTATCAATAAAAAAATCTCTACCGGACAGTCAAATTAAATTTTTATGAGCGTTTGAAATTCAAATTTTTACAACATTGGATATTCACTCGATTTCTCATGTAGCGATTTCCTTATTTTGTTGTAATTCAAAAACGAACAACCGTAGATACATGAAAATTTCACTGAATGTTTAAATTAGCATTTTCTATACACCATACAATTTTGAAAATATTTTGACTCTTTTTGAGCTGTTTATGGACATTTACAGCTTTCAATTTTTTTTAGTTTTTTTTTCTATAAATATCAATAAAGTTTTATCTGTTGGGCCAAAAAGTGTAAAAATTTAATACAAGGCTCCTGATATATTGTTACAATATCAGTTGAAAAATATTAAAAATACATAGGCACGATTTTTTTTTATAAGCATTTAAAGTTGGAATTTTGACAAAATTTATCAAAATCTCAAAAATTATCAATCGTTGGAATTAAAAAATTATAAAATGTTCAGTTTTTATAACTAAGAGTTGAAAATTTAAAACAAAGATTCTCTTAAATAATTCATACTGTAACCAAAAAATCTAAAATATATATAAACACACTTATTTTTTACAGACATTTTAATTTCAAATTTGGACGAAATTACATATTAAAAAACCTAGAATAACTATTTTAGTTATTTTGTTGTGATTGAATAATATTATTCGTGGGTACTTGAAACTTCTAAAGTGTACTATTATATATCTATGATAGTATCACGGTTTTTGTTGTTGTATAACGCGTTATAAGTATCTAATGGATATTGTGATATGATTAATTTGGAATTTATTATAGGTACCTATTATAGGTCAATTTTTTGTTTAATACCATAGATATGTATATAATATGTCTTATACATAGACTGACATACCGTCTCCGCTCAGAATCGTTTTTCTTATACAATGATATTATATCATTGAATTCAAATTTAATACCATCCATTATACAGTGACCCACTTGTAACCTACTGTACAGCAGAGCGACACCCACTTGCCCACCTTTTTATATATATTTTTATTTATATTTTTGTGTCTGTCATCACGTTTTGGGACAGTAAAAGTGCTTCGATTTTCTTCAATAGTACCTTTTCTGATAGGAAAGTGAATCTAGTTGGTACTTTGGGGGGTCAAAAGTATAAATTTCCCAGTAGTTTTCACAAGCGCCGGGAAAAACAACATAAAAATTAAGGAAAAACGGGAATTTTTACGCAAAATCGATTTTCCAAAAAATCAAATTTGGATTTTGGTGTAACTTTAAAACAAATGACCGTAAATACATGACATTGTCACTGGTTGTTTATATTTGCATTTTCTAAACACGATAACATTTTCAAAATATTTTGATTTATTTTGAACTGTTTAGGGACATTTTCATTTTTCATTTTTTTTTAGTTTTTTTTCTAGAAATATCAATAAAATTTTATTTGTTGGTTGCGAAAGCTTGAAAATTTAATAGAAGGCTCCTAATATGTTGTTTCAAAGGCAGATGAAAAATATTAAAAATCCTTAGTCACAATTTTTTTTATAAGCATTTAAAGTTCAAAAATTTACAAAATATGGAAAAATCACGAAAATTAGCAAATTATTTTGAGTTAAGAATTCGTAAAAATTTTTCTTTTTAAATCTAAGATTTGAAAATGAAACACAAGATTCCTTATAAGATTATCTACCTTTATCAATAAAAAAATCTCTACCGGACAGTCAAGTTAAATTTTTATGAGCGCTTGAAATTAAAATTTTTACAACATTGGATATTCACTCGATTTCTCATGTAGCGATTTCTTTATTTTGTTGCAATTCAAAAACGAACAACTGAAGATACATGAAAATTTCACTGAATGTTTAAATTATCATTTTCTATACACCATACAATTTTGAAAATATTTTGACTCTTTTTGAGCTGTTTAGGGACATTTTCAGTTTTCAATTTTTTTAGTTTTTTTTTTTATAATTGTCAATAAAATTTTATTTGGTGGGCCAAAAAGTCTGAAAATTGAATACAAGCTTTCTTATATATTGTTACAATATCAGTTGAAAAATTTTAAAAATACATAAGCACGATTTTTTTTTATAAGCATTTAAAGTTGGAATTTTGACAAAATTTATCAAAATCTCGAAAATAATCAATCGTTGGAATTAAAAAATTATAAAATGTTCAGTTTTTATAACTAAGAGTTGAAAATTTAAAACAAAGATTCTCTTAAATAATTCATACTGTAACCAAAAAATCTAAAAAATATATAAACACACTTATTTTTTACAGACATTTTAATTTCAAATTTGGACGAAATTACATATTAAAAAACCTAGAATAACTATTTTAGTTATTTTGTTGTGATTGAATAATATTATTCGTGGGTACTTGAAACTTCTAAAGTGTACTATTATATATCTATGATAGTATCACGGTTTTTGTTGATGTATAACGCGTTAAAAGTATCTAATGGATATTGTGATATGATTAATTTGGAATTTATTATAGGTACCTATTATAGGTCAATTTTTTGTTTAATACCA